TCTTTGTAAAATTCCAACTATAACCGTCATGACTACCCTTTAAATAGAAAAATTGAGAGTTACAATAAAGTTATAGAGAATTTTGTTTATTTTAAAATTTGCTATAAATTTTAAAAATACAACCAAGTTCTAAAATATTATGTACAAAAAGTACAACCGATGATTTACCCTTGCAGATCTGAGACTAGGAGTCTCAGGTCTCATGATGCTTGGACCATATATTGTCATCGTTGTGGTTTTGTTGGCCTTTACTGCTTCAGACCTTAGATGTTCGGTTTATCGTCTCTGACTTGTGCTCCCTCGAGATTTTTCCTTGTATCTCTTCTTATTTTAGATTAAGTGGAGTTGTTCTCAGTTCTCTACAGGGCTATCTCGGTAGTGGTGGCGCTCTTTTTTACCGTTAGGAGTTGTCTCTCCTCTCTTGTGTTTTTCGTCGTAGGTTCTTTTGGATTCTTGGATATGTGTTACGCCTTAGTCTAAGTTGAATTGGTGTTTGCCGTGTATTTAATGTTGTGATCTTTTGGTCCTAGCCTTGCGTGGAGGCTTTGTTTTTTAGTTTTAGCCTCTAGTTTTCGAATTGCGGGTCAGACTGTTTGGGTTCAATTGGTTCTGTCTTTTAGGATCATCAATTGGTTGAAACAATGATGGACTCGTGACTGTTTTTGGGGTTGGTGATGGGTATCGTATCTGTTTGCAATGTTCTTTCCTTCTCTTAGGACGTTTGGGTCCTGTCTGGGTCTGTTCCTATTGCTGGTTCGTCTTCGTTCTCGGTTTCAACTAGAATATTATTTGGTTCACTGCTTATATCTAGATTCCATATTTGTTCGGGATATGCTCATTTTAATTGGTTTCTATAGAAGTGGTTTAATCAGTGGGTTTTGTATCCGCCGTCTTTGAAAGTGTTTGGGGTTCTCGAGTATTCTCCCTCCTTGCCAGAGTATGAAGCTTAGCCGGTTTTATGTAGAGGTAGAATTGATTCACCATAGGCGGATTCATGGTTTGGTTTCGGTAATATTCTCTTGCGAAATTTGTTAGATCTGTTTTATAGATTTGTGTATCCTTTTTCAGTTCTTTATCATATCTCATATCTTGTCGAGATTTGTATTTTGATGTAATTCCTATTTTTCTAATATATCTTAAAATGACAAAAAACAATATTATATAAATTTTTGTTTACTGAATAAAATTATAAGAAATTGATCTTTATATAACACTACATTTCAATATAAATAAACTTTTTGGTCTGAGCATAAAAAAGTTTTATTTTGTTTGTGTCTAAACATCAAATTTTTGTTTTGTTTTTGCAGCATCAAATAAACTCATCTTTTATATATTAAAGCACAAGTCATCTGACTAATTATATTATACCACATGATTTGTGCTTTAAAAATTCGTAAACTGCAATGAATTTCATTTAATACCAGCTTTATTAATACTTCTTCAAGAAATCAAACAAAACACATAAACCAAAATATGCTCCATCTTCTTCATAATTTTCTCCGATTCTTTTATATCGTGTTAACTAGTTATGTACCAAATACAAAATATGTTTTATCTCTTTTGTTATATGCATTCCGATTCAAATTTCAGAAAGGAGAATAATAGTATTTCAATTGTGGCAAGACACCTACATAAATTTTGATTTTGTTGGGATCTGCAAACAATATAGTTGCGATGCTAATGGCGATATTTGATATTACAGAATAATTCAAA